TATGTGAGAGACCCTAAAGACCCTAATAAAAAAATTCATACTGCTTATAAACACGTTTAGCCAAGTAGGAGTTTACAAAATTATCCCTAAATCAAGCAACCTTTCTATATACTAAAGACAAAGAGACTAGTATTGAAATCATAAAAATTAACCCACTGACAATACTCTTAAAATATGAAATATTGTGGTGTAAGATAACTTGCTAAATGATCTTATTAATAAAAAACCCAAAGCCAGATATTGGGGTAAAAACTGAGAGATCAGTAAAACAGAAAAAAGCCAGCTGCATTCTTTTTTTTTTTTTTTTTTTTGGTTTTTCGAGACAGGGTTTCTCTGTGTAGCTTTGCGCCTTTCCTGGAACTCACTTGGTAGTCCAGGCTGGCCTCGAACTCACAGCGATCCACCTGGCTTTGCCTCCCGAGTGCTGGGATTAAAGGCATGCGCCACCACCGCCCGGCAACCAGCTGCATTCTTACCACTTGAAAATCCTCAGCCAAAGAGACCTGCTTCCTGTATACCCACGCCTGTATGCTTTTCTGTTCCTGCAATCTCACTTCTTCTCTCCACCCAGTTGTATCACTTTCTTTTCCTGCCCAGCTCTGTCACTTCCTGTCTGTACAGACCTCCAGACCTCTATGGTTAATTGGTGTTGGAATTAAAGGCTTTTGTCACCATGCTTGGCTCTATTCCCCAGTGTGGCCTTGAACTCACAGAGATCTAGATGGATGTCTGCCTCCCAAATGCTAGGATTAAAGGTGCAAGCTACCATTGCTCGACTTCTATATTTAATATAGTGGCTGGCTTTTTCCTCTGATCATCAGATAAGCTTTATTAGGGTGTACAATATATTGGGGTACACAATATAGCGCCATATTTTGAATAAACCTAACCAAGGAAATGAAAGGGCGACACAGTGAGAACTTTAAAATATTGAAGAATAGCATTGAGGAAAACACAGAAGATTGAGAAAAAATCTCCTGTGTACATAGATTAGTAGGATTAACGTTATGAAAAGATATCCTATTAAAATGAATCTATAGGTCCAATGCAGTCCCATCAAAATCCCAATGTAATTCTTCACAGAAATTGAATAAATAATCTTAAAATTCATATAGAAATACTCAAGATAGTTAAAAAAAAACTGAAAGTAAAAACAAAATGCTGGTTGATGTATCACCATTCCTGATTTCAAGTTAATACTTACGGAACCATAAAAACAGCCTGCTACTGCTAAAGAAACAATTACTTTCATCAATGGACAATAATGGAAGACCCAGGCGTAGCCACCTGATTTTTGACAAAGAAGCCAAAAAACATTAAAAAAGTCATTATCTTCAACAAATGGTGATGAGAAAACTGAGTATCAGCACCTAAGAGAACGGTATTTTTTCCTTTTTTTCTTGCACAAAACTCTATTCCAAATGCATCAAAAAGCTCAGTGTCAGACCTGAAGTTCTAAAGCATCTAAGAGAGTAGTGTCTCTATATCGCTTCAGGACATGGGCTCAGAGTAGGACTTTCTGAATTAGGAGCTCAGGAAATAAGACCAACAATCCACAAGTGTGGGTTGATAAAATTAAAAAGCTCTGTATTGCAAAGGAAACTCACAATTCCTGAAGAAGCAACAGTGAGAATCCAGGGTTTATTTTTATAATTATACACCTGGTCAATTCCTTTTCTTAAAAGGAATTGTTTGACTTGGACATGATGACTCACCCCTCTAATTTTAACATACGAATGGTTGAAGCAGTAGTATTGTCATGACTTAAAAGGCTGGCGTGGGATAAAACATAATTTCTGGAATTTGTTGTCCTAATTCCAAAAATAAAACAATAAAGAAATACATTTGGTATTGTACTTTTGGCTTTTAGTTGGGTTTTTATTGAAATAACTTTCCAAATTTCCCACACTTATTTTATTATGAAGCAATATAAAAAGGGGAGATGTATTCTTTTTATGAATTCCAGTTGATATAATTGATACAAGGTAGAATAAAAACCTATCACCTAACATATTAAGATTAAGATGTTGAAGTACCTTGACACAGCACTTTCTGCAGCATCCCTTCCCCTCTCAAAGATACTGGCAGGCATCCTACTGAGGACATTGTCTGTAAATCTCCAGCTAACACACTTCCGGGTGCCTGTATGCATCACCTGGGGAACAGAGTTTACATGACTCGGGGGTCATAATGATGCCACACATCCTGCTCTGCACCTGATAATTCTCTGCCTTCTGTACTGGAATCAGAGAGCCTGGCTGCAAGCTTCTCCTATAAGCATAACACCCACCCTCAGTGATCTATAAGAAGAGATCTCTACTCCTTTCCTGTGGGTCCTCATTAGTCTCTTTCAAGCCCCACCTTGTCAGTCTCTGGTGTTGGACTCTGACGTAGATGATTTTTCTTTGAGCCACCAGATAACAAAAAGATAACACCAAGACTTATTATTAATGATGAAATTGTGGCCAATAGCTTATGGTTGTTTCTAACTATCTCTTATAACTTAAATTAACTCATATCTTTTTTTTTATTTTTATTTTGCAATACAATTCAGTTCTACATATCAGCCACGGATTCCCTTGTTCTTCCCACTCCAGCCCCCCTCACCTTCCCCCAGCCCACTCCCCCCATTCCCACCTCCTCCAGGGCAAAGCCTCCCCCGAGAACTGAGATCACCCTGGTAGACTCAGTCCAGGCAGGTCCAGACCCCTCCTCCCAGGCCGAGCCAAGTGACCCTGCATAGGCCCCAGGTTTCAAACAGTCAACTCATGCAATGAGCACAGGACCTGGTACCACTGCCTGGATGCCTCCCAAACAGATCAAGCCAATCAACTGTCTCACCCATTCAGAGGGCCTGATCCAGTTGGGGACCCCTCAGCCATTGGTTCATAGTTCATGTGTTTCCATTCGTTTGGCTATTTGTCCCTGTGCTTTATCCAACCTTGGTCTCAACAATTCTTGCTCATATAAACCCTCCTCATTCTCGCTAATTGGACTCCCAGAGCTCCACCCCGGACCTAGCCATAGATCTCTGCATCCAGATCCCTCAGTCCTTGGATGGGGTTTCCAACACGACAATTAGGGTGTTTGGCCATCCCATCACCAGAGTAGGTCAGTTCCGGCTGTATCTCGACCATTGCCAGCAGGCTGTTGTGGGGGTATCTTTGTGGATTTCTGTGGGCCTCTCTAGCACTTTGCTTCTTCCTATTCTCATGTGGTCTTCATTTACCATGGTCTCCTATTCCTTGTTCTCCCTCTCTGTTTTTGATCCAGCTGGGATCTCCCACTCCCCCAAGCTCTCTTTCCCTCGACCCTCGCCCTTCATTACCCCCACTCATGTCCAGGCTGTTCATGTAGATCTCTTCCATTTCTCCGTCATTGGGCGATCCTCGTGTCTTTCTTTGGGTCCTGTTTTCCAGGTAGCCTCCCTGGTGATGTGAGTAGCAGTCCAGTCATCCTTGTTCCTCATCTAGTATCCTCCTATGAGTGAGTTCATACCATGTTTGTCTTTCTGAGTCTGGGTTACCTCACTCAGGATGATTTTTTCTAGATCCATCCATGTGCATGCAAACCTCATGACTTCATTGTTTTTCTCTGCTGAGTAGTATTCCATTGTGTATATGTACCACATTTTGTTTATCCATTCTTAGGTTGAAGGGCATCTAGGTTGTTTCCAGGTTCTGGCTATTACAAATAATGCTGATATGAACATAGCTGAACAAGTGCTCTTGTGGTGTGATTGAGCGTTCCTTGGGTATATGCCCAAGAGTGGTATAGCTCGGTCTTGGGGGAGATGGATTCCCAATTTTCTAAGAAAGCGCTATATTGATTTCCAAAGTGGCTATACAAGCTTGCATTCCCACCAGCAGTGGAGGAGAGTTCCCCTAGCTCCACATCCTCTCCAGCATAAGCTGTCTTCAGTGTTTTTGATCTTAACCATTCTGACAGGCGTAAGGTGCTATCTCAGAGTTGTTTTGATTTGCATTTCCCTGATGATTAGGGATGTTGAGCAATTCCTTAAATGTCTTTCAGCCATTTGAGTTTCCTCTGTTGAGAATTCTCTGTTTAGTTCTATAGCCCATTTCTTAATTGGACTGTTGGGCATTTTGATGTCTAATTTCTTGAGTTCCTTATATATTCTGGATATCAGTCCTCTGTCAGATGTGGGGTTGGTGAAGATCTTTTCCCATTCTGCAGGCTGTCGCTTTGCCTTGTTGACTGTATCCTTTGCTCTACAAAAGCTTCTCAGTTTCAAGAGGTCCCATTGATTGATTGTTTCTTTCAGTGTCTGTGCTAGTGGTGGGCTGGAGAGATGGCTCAGCCGTTAAAGGGTAGGCTCACAACCAAAAATATAACTCATATCTTTTAATCTACATTGTTTTACATGGCTCAGTTACCTATTTTTTTTTCTTTTTTTTCTTTTTTTTTTGAGACAGGGTTTCTCTGTGTAGCTTTGTGCATTTCCTAGATCTGGCTCTGTAGTCCAGGCTGGCCTCGAACTCACAGAGCTCTGCCTGCCTCTGCCTCCCGAGTGCGGGGGTTAAAGGCGTGAGCCACTACCACCCAGCTAGTTACCTGTTCTTTGAAATGCTCATGCTGCTTGCTCTGTGTTTCCTGGTGTCTCCCTCTTTTTCTTCCCAGCATCCTCTGTGCCTCGAAATTCTCCTTAGTTTTTGGCCATTCAGCTTTTTATTAAACCAATCAGAGTGATATATCTTCACTGTATAAAAAAGACTTTTCCACAAGAGTCTGAACTTTCCTTAAAGCCCCCTCTGAGCTCTTAACTGTCTGTCTGTCCCTGGTATTAATAATTATTCTAATATACTTCTTAGCTACATTGATCCATCTTATCATCCCTCATCCAAAACCTTTAAATAATCATATTTTCTATGAACTTATACTATTTCAGGAGATATTCAATTAGTTTTGCCTTAAGTTCTGTAATATCACCACAGAGGGACTCTTTGTTCTTGTCTTCTTGAAAGAATTTAAACAAGAGACACAGTTTAAGCAGAAGTTTATTTAGCAAAACAAAGCAAATATTCCTAACAAAGATTGAACAGAACTTTCCCAAAGGGTGGCAGCAGCTTGATGGGTTCTGTATTGGGGATTTTCAAGGACTTCTTATATTGATGTAAAGGCTGTTTTAGTTCTTGAACCACCATGCTAAAATATTCTGTCAAGTCCAAAATCATATGTATTTTTAAAAAAGAATATTTTAAGTGATTCCACCACTTAGAATAACATTTTTCAATTAGTGACTACTAGTCATTCTCTCCATTGAACCCTGCTTTGATTATTTCTTATATTATTTCATTAAATTTTTACAACACATACATACCTGCATACACACAAATAACTTTTTATTAATATTTATGTGATGAGTGTATTATTCTCAAACATGTTGGACCAGATCTTCCTTTAGGGTATTTTTTTCTATGATACCCCCCAAAAATCCACAAAGGTAGAGGGAACAAAACTACAATATAAACAAGATTATATCAAAATAAAGACCATTTGAAGATGTAGATCTTTAGTACACGTGTATGCAATGGGAACAATCTGTCTAAGCTCAAGGATTTGACCACAAACAGACATTCTGGCCATCTGGACAAACATGGCTGTGATATTCTTGCCTCCCTCATACCTAACTCCTTTTGGAGACTTCTCTTGTTCTCAAAATTGATTTTATGACTATCTTTGAAAACAACTTGAAGTCCTAGGGTTAGGACGATTCGTTGCTTTTAAATTCAAGTCTGCATAAAAGGCTGGGACTAGGGGTTTTGCAGTTAGATTATTGGGCTGCATAAATAGGAAATATGACTTAAGATGTCTTTAGAAACAGAGTCTCTCATATATACCATTTATGTCTGTCTTCTACACAGTAGCATGTCTTAGTAAAACACAATATAAATCAGTGATTCACTGACGTTATTATTATACTAACATCAGTGGCATTACCAACATCAATATTTTGTCTTGTAATAACAAAGGGAAGAGCACACCTTTAGAAGCAGCTCTGTGAAATGAGACTCAAACCCAGAACTCTCTGCTTCTCATACATATTTCCCCTGCCTTCTCATCAAACCTGATGCTTTCATGTCTCAGTATAGTAAGGGGATAATAGGAAGATGCATTGGAACATATACAAATTCTTATGTAAACAAACATGTACATGTCACTTTTCTTTTTTTAAGAGCAAACTGATGCTATATAATGGGTAATAATATTAATCTGTGACCAAACTGCAGGGTATCTATTTTATATGAGCATATTAAACTTATTCCCATTTGAAAAATATTACTATGATAGTTCTCACATTTCAGAAAGGTAATGATTCAAATCCTTAGCTAACTTTTATCCTTCTTTCCTGTTGCCCTGCTTAGGCACTCTAAAATGAACCTCATTCAGTATTTAGCAGTTTAAACTATGGCCGAGCTTTCTTGTCCGTCTCCACACCTGTGCTCCTGTTGCCTGCGATTCTGGTTCTTTTTCTTCTAATTGTTGCCATCAGAGCTCTTCTTAGGAGACCCCGACAGACGCTGCCATGACCTACTCCCTTGCTCAATCTGGTTTCCCTCTCATTATCTGACCCTTCTCACTGCACGTCATAGTTAGGAGGAGGGTCATCTGAGAGGGGCTTTAATTGTCTCTGTGAGCTAAGAATCAGATGCAGCCACTGAACAACAAAGGGCATCCAGATGAGCACTGCCGCTGTTGTTGAAAGCAGTGCTACTTCACACACTTTAGAAAAAAAATAAAAATAGAGCTCTAAAGTTCCAAAAGTTTCATTGTTCAGAAATATGGGCTTCTGGAATGTTGTCTGAAGTCTTTTTGGTGACTAATGGTGGAAGTTTGGAGCATTGCAGCTTCTCTGGCCTGAGGTTAAAACAGGCTCTGTCACGGAAATCGTGGAGGGACAGCTCAGGAAGCAAAGCAACAGTCAAGTCCTAACTTGCCATATGTTGATGTTTATGATTTTTGGTTTCTATGGGGTCTTGGAGTTCAAGTCTTGTGATGGGATTAATGAACTAGAGAAAGGACAGAGAGCTCATTCTTTGTGTCATGTGAGAACCTAGACAGGAATTGGGGACCTCATTAGAACCCATTTTGAACCCAGACAGGAACAGAGGGCTTACTAGAACATCATAATGATGCCCTGACATGGACATCACAGTACAACTGTGAGGAAATATATTTCTGAGATTGCCATGCATTGCACTGCGAGGCACACAGACTATTACGTGCTTTGCCCAGGTGAAAAAAAACCTCTCTTTTCTCCCTATTATCCAAAGCAAACCCATGCTCTAACATCTGGTTGTAAATATTCTTTTTGCCTGGAAGAATCTTTAAAGAAAAGGAAAAAACAAAACAAAACATTTGCTTGCAATTCTTTTACTTCAGATCATTGTTCGTCACATTTTCTCATTAAAAATCATCCTTCCTGTTCTGTTGCCACATCTGCAACTCAGGCCAACCATTTTCTGGCTATGAACTCAACTCTGGATTTACTGTGCTCCATATTTTTCATAAAATACATCATTTACTAATTACATTTATTATTGAATGAAAAAAGAAAGAAAAAGAAAAGGATATGACTGCTCCTAGGTATCGGGAAGGAGAAAGTTTATTGTAGATAAAAGGAGAGCATAGCCAGAGGCAGAGACATCTGAGAGAGTTCAGAGTGGACATGACCAGACTGATCTGTGCCATGTGAGGAGGGTGGGAGGTAAGAGAGAAGGGAGAAAGGGGAACCAGGTGCAATAGCCAGGATGCACAAAGGAGAATAAACCAGGGAACCAAAATGTCTGGGTTATATAAAGTAAAGCAGCTGTGGGGAGGGCAGCCTAGTTCCTGGGCTGGAAAATTCAGGGTAAAGGGTAGGGTATGCCAGCCTCAAGGACCCTGTAACAGGTAGGGACTGAGGGACTGTAGGGAGAACTTGCAGCCAGGTCTGCTTTGATATGTTAAATGAACACCTCAGCTAATTGTCCCAGGTTTGAAATTATTAAGTTATTAGCAATTATTAAATGCATTACATGACCACTAAACTATAGGCCTCATGTCAGTTGTCCCTTGCATTATTTCTTCTATTCTGATGCTTTACAAGCACCTATAAGAGAATTTCTTTTTCTTAGTAATTAAGTAGCAGGTTCTAGGTTAAGTTTTCTTGAATTGAGAATCCTTTTCTTATGATCACTATTTATTAATAGAAAGGTTTATAATTTTTATTTCATTATCTGTCTTTTTTTAGCTTTTCACATTTTTTTATAGTCACATGCAGAGGTCTGATTAATTTCAGCTTCTTCACTGCCAATCAATGTGGGAGAGACTGCTCCAACTTCTGGGTCTTCTTGTCTGTGATGACCAGGGTATAAAGGTACCTGCTGCAGCGAACTTCGAACTTTGTATTATTCTTGTTCTTCTTGATCTTGACAGATTTGGCATCCCTCTGCCTGGCTGTGAGCAGAAAGTCCTTGATTTCCTTGGTTTTCCAAGGCATGGTGAAAAATGCTTGGCTGTAGATACAGCATATCGGCAGCAAAAGTAGAGAACAGAGAAAGCCTTATTTCATTATCTTAAGCATTACATTACTTTAAAATCATGTAATTTACTAGTTTCATATTTTTTAATTTCCTCTTCTTAACTCATAAAATATAACTTCGAATAGGTTATTTCATTCCGAGTATTGCATTTTCTTTGTCCTAACAAGCCTATCATGTATGTGTGTATGTGTATGTGAGTGTGTGTGTGTGTGTGTGTGTGTGTGTGCATGTGTATATAAATCTAGAATTATCACCACAAATCACTCATGTTACAATTAAAGATATCTGTGATATATCTGGGATACAACAAAAGTCCTTATTTTTGTCTTTATATTGTGGTGTCTTCATATTATCTATTCGGTAGCCCAGAGTCCTCCAGTTTTCAATTCCAGACACAAATTTTCTCTGTTCATTCTTATCCAGAGAAAGCCCATTTAGGCCACAAGACTGAATTAAAATGTCTTTTCAAAGACATTGATTAAATTATGTACATACCACCAATCTTGTACTCTTAAATTTATAAACATTATCCTTGTTTTTTGTGTCAAGGAATTTTTTTCTAAAATTTCCATATGTATTTCATATAGAACTTTGATTTCTTTTTATATATTACAAAAATGTTTTCTGTCAAGTAATTTGGTGCATGTAAAATAACTGAAAGTAAATACAGATAGTGCCTGCTCACTCCCCTTGAGTACTACTCCTAACACTCTCTACCTTGGTTCTGTTTCATTTGCTTTTGAGAATTCCAGCCTACTATAAAACTTGCAAACTATCTGTCAGTACATTTCACTCCTTTCATTTCCGTTCTTTTGTGAAGATTCGTTTTTTTCTAAAACCTTCTTTTCATTCCATTATGAAAATGGGTTTAAGAGGTTTTAGCTGCATGTGTATTCTGTTGTGGTCTCAAGTCCCTGCCTGAGTGTGAATTAGGCACTTAGAGAAGAATGCAAGCACAGGAAGAACACAGAATGGGACTAGCATCCCTCAGAAGCCTGGCTCCTGCAGGGCTTGACTTACTTTAAGGGGAAAAAGAAAAAGCAGGATAAATAGCAGGATCCTGAGAAGTTATCTGCTTTGTTCTTTGCCTTCAGACAGTTAGCTATCTATGTTTTGCAGGACAGATATATCCTCATGATCATTCCAGTTTATAATGTTCATGGTTCTTCTCTGCCAACTTTCACAGCCTATAAGGATGCTGCACAGCTCATACTCCCTGATCCTGCTGGCTGTCATGGAGGCTTTCTGCTTCTTGTAAATGCTCACAGGAGGAAATTAAATACTTTTCAATACTCAACAGTTACAATGAGTTTTCAATTCTATTCACTTAACATGTAAAGCACAGTCTAATCTTGTTGACATATAGTGTAAGCAAACTCTTTGTGAGGAATGAGAGGAGATTCTGTCTGCTTCTGGCATCTGAGCCTTGATGTTTAATATATATATATATATATATATATATATATATATATATATATATATATATATATATACACACACACACACACACACTAACAACGACATTAGTTTGGTATAAAGATTAAATAAATGGATGCATGTGAAAACACTGAGAAACCCACAGATATGCTTCAGTTGTGAGGCCTCTCTTTTCTCCCCTTTTTATGGCCCACTCTGAGTTTTGCTTGTGTAGCTATTACTGCATCTGGAGCTTTATGTCTTTGCTTTTTGCTTTGTCTGTTTTTCTTCAACTCTGTAAATTTCCTACAGAAATTTGAAGTTAATATTTATGTTTTGGTCCTATTTGAAAAAGATAACCCAGAGCAAAATATTAAGGTCTAGTTTATCATTTGTGATTATGTCTGCTTCAAATATGAAAGACCAGCATATTACACTCTAGACTAGAGAGTAATGAGATGACCTGCACTTCAAATATAGGTCAACCATATCACAAATGCATCAGCTTGGCAAGCAGGGACCATCATGATTCCTAAAGGATAAGAATGTCTGCTACTCAAGTCTAAATATTATGAGCCACTGCCTAGCTTTGTAAACATGTTAACCTACTGTTTTAAAGTTGCAGTCAAGTTTTGTTTGAATATTCCTCAAATCAGATCAAAGATAATTTACCTAATACTGTGAATTAGAGTTAGGTATAATTAAAGGAAACACACTAACATCTAAAATGTTTAGTTAAGCTTAAATGTTTGCCAGTATTGGAAGAAGTGTTCAATTCAGCATGCTTTGACAGTATTAAAAATATCATTATGTGAAGAATGTTTGTGGTGTGAAGAATTAAACCATTCCCTTATAGAGAAGAAAGAAAACTTCAAAGGCTTAGGGGACTCAAAAAGTTGCTAGAGTCACAAGGAATTTCTTCAGTCATCGGTAAACAATTGCTGAGGCCATTAGACCATCTTCAGTGGGCTGACTGCATGTTGTGTTGTTAGCATCAGTGCTTCAGCTTTTGTGAGTCCTCACTCATCCTGGAGTGGGGATTTCAATAACAGAACTGCCTTGAAGTAGCCTATGCTGCTATGAGTAACCCCACTAAACCATAGTTCACTAGGCTAGATGTGGGTGGAATCACCTCCTTGGACTGCTGTCAGTACTTTATTTTTTATTTTAATAATTTTTATGCTTTGAAAGTTTCATACATTTATATAGCATATATTGATCTTATCTGTTTATTACTATTTCCTTCCAACTCCCCTAGTATCTGTTATCCCTTCTCCCTTCCAACTTTATGTCCCCTTTTATTAATATTATTAATTACATCTAGAGCCCAATTATTATTGTCCTTAGGTTCCTATGTGCATGATAACCCACCAGTATATGCAGCACCTACCATCTATCATAGTCGCAAAGAAGAGTAACTTTCCCTTCTCCAGCAGCCATCAACTGCCACTGGTTCCTTTTGTCTTGGAATCTCCAGTAGGTGTGGGGTCTCTTTGTCCCCTCCCAATTCATGCTGGGATTTTGATTGGCTTTATCTTATGTTATGCAAGTCTTGTGCAGGTACCCACAGCTGCTATGTTCATTCCTACCAGACATGTCATGTCCTGAGGCCAGCATTTCGCAGCTGTCCTCCCCTGCCTCTAGCTCTCACATTCTTTCTGAAACCTGCTGTGTGACCTCTGTAGGCACAACCAAAACACAGCTGAACATTTGGTGTTATTTAGATCAGCATTTTGACCAGTTGTAAGTCTCTATATTAACCATGTACTGTAAAAGAAAGCCTCTCTGGCCAGTGTTGAGTGCACCACAAACCTATGGGTGTAAGCAAACAATTTAGAAGGCAATTTGGCAGCAAGATCAATTAGTAAAATAATAGCAGTAGATTTCTTGTTCCTCACAGAGTTATGATGGCTAGTCATGGGGTTTTGATCAGGTTTTTAGGACTAGACATAAAATGTATCCCATGAAACTGGCCTCATATTCAGTAAGAAAGCAGTTGGTTTTCCCATAACTAACATACCACTATTGTAACAGTGAGCACATTTTTGCCGGCCAGTCAGTATTGTTTCATGCAGGATCCAGTGCTGAGACCATTAATATTGTTGCCCATTAGCAGCCTGAATAACAACTTCCAGCACTATGTAATAATCTAACTAGTGTGTGTTTAAGATTGGTTTCTCTATAATGTTTCCAAAGTAAATAGTGTTTTTGGCAATGAGGTGTTACCATCCAGTTATAGTGGAAAACCAAAATTAGTGGCAATGATTTTTATTGTATTGGCTGCCTCTGAGGGCTTCCTGATCAATACTCATAGGGAGGAATTGTGTGCTGGGCACTGAGGTCTACACTTAATAACATATCTTCTGAGAAAAGCATCATTCACATAGGCAGAGTGTTTCTGTTCAAACTGTGTGTCTCTCTATGTCTCTGTCTCTGTCTCTCTTTCTCTGTGGATATGTGTGCGTGCATGCATGTGTGTGTGTGTGTGTGTGTGTGTTTATGTGTATATGTGTGTGTTTGTGTGTGTGTTTATAAACTAGTGGATTTCCATAAGCTTTCTTCATCTATTCATGGTTTTGATCAAGTCACCCCTACCTTTTTGTCTTCCAAATCTCAGTCTTCTCACTTAAACCTTTACCTTTGGTATTCTCCCAGTCACAGTTCATGTCAACAGCAATCTCCTATCACTCTAACTGAATTTTTGTCTTTGGAAGATTATAGTTTCCTATACAGGTTTTTGTGTACTTTTCATTCTGATAAAACCTTCCAATAACAGCGAACTTCCCATCTTTCATTCATTTCCATGACTGATACTTTCTGCCCCAAGTACTAACTTCAATTTCATTTTACCTGCATTTTACTTCCCTCCTACCTTAAACAATCTACCCCACACATATGTTTCTAGTTCCTTAGCTTCTATATACCTTCTCAGTCAAGCATAGAAATTAAATATGCAAAACTAGAATCTTTGTATGAGAGTGAAAATGAGAGGATTTATTTTATAGTACATGGTTGTTAATATGGAGACTTACATCTGTTCAAAATGCTGACCTAAATAACACCAAACATTCAGCTGTGTTTTGGTTGTGCCTACAGAGGTCACACAGCAGGGTTCAGAAAGAATGTGAGAGCTAGAGGCTGGGGAGGACAGCTGTGAAATGCTGGACTCAGGACATGACATGTCTGGTAGGAATGAACATAGTAGCTGTGGGTACCTGCACAAGACTTGCATAACATAAGATAAAGCCAATCAAAATCCCAGCATGAATTGGGAGGGGACAAAAGGACCCCACACCTACTGGAGGTTCTAAGACAAAAGGAACCAGTGGCAATTGATGGTTGCTGAAAAAGGGAAAGTTACTCTTCCTCGAGAATATGACAGATGGTAGGTTCCACATATACTAGTGGGTCATCACACACATAGGAACCTAAGGACAATAATAATTGGGCTCTAGATGTAATTAATAATATTAGTAAAGCCAATTTAACTAAAGAAACACAGAGAAGACAAAAATTAATAAAATTAGAAATGAGAAGGAAATCATTACAACAGCTAT